GTCAAGTTGTCTGGTTGCTTCCATGCTGTAGTTGTAGTGTTAGGCTGTAGAGTAGATAGGGCGCCTGGCGCCATTCAAGAGAGAGAGAGCTACATGGGGTTATGCTGTTGGTGTTGCCCGATTGGGCCTGAACATTGACTCACGATTCTTCTGTATCGTTCTCAAATGGATGGTTACTCGGTTCCATTGTGCTATCTGCTCTTGCTTTGACTACTTGGACTTCAGTGTGATTTTGCAATTTGGATTTCTGTGCTTCGTCCACATTCATGTTCCTTGCATTTTGGTATCAGAGCTGGTTCGATTCGCCGCTTACCTTGGTGCGCTGGCGTTATACAGACTTGGTGCGTTGACGACGCTTCTTCGCAGTTGGTTCTTGTGACATCAGGCCAACATTAGGCGCACGACCTGGGTAGAGAGGTGTGCGCCGGAAGGCTGAACGGCTTGGAATGCCGTGGTGACGGCGGAATGTATGATTGGTGATGAGAGCATGCTGATGTGGCATTTGGCTGAGGTGGCACTGCATTGCGTTGTGGGTGGTACCGAGGCTACGATCGGTCATCAAATGCACACTCAGCTCAATTGGTGAGAAATCTATGGTTGGGGGCAGCTATCTCCAAGTACGTTGTTCCCTTACCTTATCTACTCTCTCAATCTCTTCTTACCGCGAGGAAGTGAGTCCAGCTTGAGAGCCCTCTCTTTTGGTGAGGTGTCGTGAGCGCGCTACCTTGAGAGACGACAATCTTCCCGGTGGCGCGTCTGGAAGGAAAAAGGGCGGTGCCTCTGAAGGGCCCTGGTCGAAGCACGTGGGTCACTGTCACCATGCCAACCCAATGGGATTAGTACACGCATGCGATGGCTGCTTTGTCCATGAGGGCACTTTTGCTGCGCTGATAGAGGGGTGTGCGGACTGAACAGGCTTTTGCAGACGCTCCCAGACCGTTTATAAACATTTCTAGATGCGGTTCCGATCTGATAACTGGCTGTGATCGTCGTCCTGATTGCGACGTTAAATAATTCCTGAGCGACCCTGGGGGCAGTCCTTAAATAGGCCTCTTGATCAGCCAGATCAGTCGGACGTACGGCTCGTTGCACGCGAGGATAAAGAATGGGCAAGCCTGGTCATAAACATGCACCTGGGGCACAGGGGTGGGCCGACATTGCACACCTATGACACTGCTGCTCAATGATGCTCATCAGTATGTTGGATTGAGGGGAGGGTAGGTTCTAATTGGTGCTCAAATGTAAAAACCATATCCACTGTTCATACATCTGCAACATACTTTAGTTTTATTGTTGATTAGTTGGTTAACAGACTGCTAACACCTCACAGACAGTTTAGTTTAGGACTGTTGTATACTACCATAGCCAGTTTTATGCAAAACTTCTGTAAGTGAACTAATCATGATATTACTAAAGTATGTTTACGGTGTTTTGTGAATGTTGTAGGCTGCCACTTGATCGGTTGAGTAGGGGACCTGGGACCTGGCAGACACATTTATTTTTAGAAAATTACGTGCCGGTCAGACAGATGCTGTGGTAGGACTTCAACAGGGAGTTGTAGTGCAGATAGTGTTTGCCTAACTGATGAGTGGGTCAGACACCGATGAGGGTAGAGTTGACGATGCGAGGCTGACACGTTCGAGATCACTAAGGGTCCCGCGCGTGTTTCAGGCCCTATAGCCGGGGGATGAGAGACGGCTTCGTGCCGAAGTTAGAGCCCGTGCTCTCGCAGCAGCCAGGGAGACAACACTAGCTGCAAGTCAGGCGTTGGCAGCAGCAAACGCCGCAGCTAGGGAACAGGCAACAGCAGCAACCAGTGCAGCAGCAATGGCTACCGCAACAACATCCTCTGCTGCACTTGTCTGGGACTCAGTTGGGAATGGCTTCTGGGCCCACGGGTACTTCCGGATTAGTAGGTTCGAGTCAGTCCACAAGTCAAATGGCGGGCTCGCATTTCAGTCCGTCGACCCCACGCGGTAGATAGCTATTAGAGTTCCAACAAGTCGAAAGGATCCGCGCTCGGTTAGAGAGGGAACTGAAGCAAGCTACCGATAGGGAAAAGGAGATAAAAAATAGAACAGCCAGGCTTGATACGTTAGAGGCAGACAAAGCTGCATTAGAGGGTTTGGACGAGTCAGCCATGTCTGACGAAATGAAGGTGTTGAAGGCCAGCGTGCTGTCTCTCCATGCGCAGGTGGACAACAGGCTGGACTTCATGCATAACTCTTTGGACCAAATCTTGGACCTTTTGCAAAGGCCAGGATTACGGCCAGCAGCACAGTCGCCGTTGCTGTTAACGGCGATGTCAGGCCCCTTTCCGGTACAAGTTGGCACACAGCCAAGTGGTACGTCTGCAGCAGCCGCAC